AGTCTTGTATTTGGGGAGGGTGTTGTTAACGATGCTACATCTGTGGTGCTTTTCAATGCTATCCAGAGCTTTGATCTCACTCACATTGATTCCAGAATTGCTTTGCATTTTATGGGCAACTTCTTATATTTGTTTTTCACAAGCACCATGCTAGGAGTGTTTGTAAGTACCCGTCTCTATTCCGTGTCCATATATACAAGTGTGCTATATTGTTTTCGTTTTTTGTACCTTGGTATAACTTCTCTCTCTTGTAGGCAGGGCTGCTCAGTGCTTACATTATTAAAAAGCTTTATTTTGGCAGGTATATTGTCATAATTTATATATTCAAGTCATGCCTAGAGCTTTAGGGTCCTGTTTTGTTTAGCGTCTCAAGGTTTTTTATTTCTATGTTGAAACCACAGCAGTCTTAGAGAAGATTTTTTTTCCTGACACAACTTGGTTTCTGACATAATTCAGGCACTCTACAGATCGCGAGGTTGCTCTTATGATGCTCATGGCATACCTGTCATATATACTGGCTGAAGTAAGCTTCTCCTCTACTCTGGGCAGATGATGACCAATCCTTTGCTGAGGAGGATTCTCACTTTTCTGGTGAGCGGTACTTTCAAGCGAAAAATGTTGAACCAATTGTAACATCAGATGATCCTATAGGACTAACAGTGACTGAATTGTATGCGAGGAGTGATGAGAATGATTTAATAGCTCAATATGATGGACAGTTGATGTACATCACAGCAAGGCAGTTGAACACCAAGATCAGTGAGGAGATAGCAAAGCCAGTTGAGCTCGGCAGCTGCATTAGCTACTGACCTGTACTCAGCTTCAGTGGAAGACCTTGCAACAGATTTTTGCTTTTTAGAACTCCAGGAGACGGGATTACACCCAAGATAGATGACATAAGCACTGGTGGATGAAAAATCATTCTTGTCACCTGCCCAGTATGCGTCTGAATAGGTGTGGAGATTCAATGGGGACTGACGATGCACAGGTTTAGCATAAGTCATATGGGTTCTAGCGAGAATGTCCAAAATGTAACGCCGTTGAGATAATAAAATGGGACTACCTCCACACCCAAAAAATAAGACAGCTGTCCAAGATCCTTAATTGAAAACCGATTAGCAAGAACATCAACAAAGGAGTCAATCATCTTAGTGTTGACTCCAGTGATTATTAAGTCATCCACATAGACAAGTATATACATACTATGGCCAGCAATAGTGAGAACAAATAGAGAAGTATCTGCATGGGAATTTTTGAAGCCAGAGTAAAGAAGAATAGCGCGAAGTTCATGATACCATGCTCTCGGTGCTTGTTTGAGGCCATAGATGGCTTTTCGAAGTTTGTAGACATAAGATGGATGATCTTGGTCAACAAAACCTGGTGGTTGTTGCATGTAGACATGCTCGGAGAGGTGGCCTTGGAGAAAGGCATTGTTGACATCAAGTTGACGTAAAGACCAACCCCGAGATACAGTAAGACTCAGTGGTTTGATAAAGAAGCAAGAGCAAGTAAGGCAAATAAAGGCTCAAGAGGAAGAGTTGAGACCTTCAACCTCAAGATTGTGCATAGAAAAAACAGGTATGTCTTCACCTATGCACTAATCTCAAATATAAATTAATCGATCATGGTTCTTTACGGGAGAATTGTGCTTGGGCATATGATGTTTCTGTTTACACCAATAGTAAATTTAAAAAGTTCTGAAAACTATTGAAGCTGTTATACTGTAGTTTTAGGTTGGTTTTTTGGAAGAAAATAATTGTATAGTAATGCATCTATCTATGAAGATTTTGCAGCTATCTATCTATGCCACGGTTTCCCTAAATCCTAAACCCTTGTTCTTTCCTCTCCTCAACTTTTATTTTTTTATCATTTTAACCAAATAAAAAGAAATCATCCTATCTGTTTGAGCTTCTTGATCTGCTAATTGTACAATCAGTTATTTGACTGCAACTACCCCCTTTTTTTTGGGGATAAGAAACGTGAATATTTATACAAAATAAAACAACCCCTCTTTTCTTTTGTTGTGTCATGTGGATTATTAATCGATTAGTGTGATCTCTTTTATATGTAGTTTTCATTTTCAAGTTACACTAATCTTACTATAAACCTAAGCTTTGTGTAATGGTCGCTATTTTGTCGAGGCATGTAATTATTTGATGGACTTTAATCTCTCAGCTTTTTCTGGTAAGTGTTGCTGCCTTGAAGTCTTCTTTGCCATTTATACTGTTGTTGGTTACTTAACTTGCTTCTGGTAGACTATTAGAACTCATGTTTTTATTCCACAGAACTGGCTTTGAAGATGACAAAAAAATGTCATGTTGTGTTGAATTCTGTGATAACCGCGCTATCATGTCACCAAATATCTTGGATCAGCTGCTCTCAGCAAAGCTATGCAGGCGCATGATCTGCATACAGGCATGGATGTTTGTGTGAAAATTATAAAGAACAACAAAGATTTCTTTGATCAGAGTCTTGATGAGATAAAGCTTCTCAAATACATCAATAAGCATGATCCTGCTGACAAGTACCACATTCTACATTTGTACGATTACTTCTATTATCGAGTAAGGGAATGTACAATTTTGATACTTATCTTGTTTGGTTTTGAGCTTTTATAATATTTCGACATAGATTTTTGTTGAATACGTGCACATTTGCTAGATTTGAATTACTTGTCTTTCATTGTCTTGTGTACCTGTGACCCCTATGCTCTGGGGCAGTGCCTTTCTGCTAGCATGGAGAGGGCAACACTTGAAAGTTTTGTATATGGCTTCTTGTGGTTAGTCATTATACTATTGATCTTCCTTTTTGGGGATGTTTCGTACAGACATATATTATATTGACAACTTGCTTCTCGTGTTTAGTGTATTGATCTCATTTATGGAATGATGCATTGCATATTAATCTGAAATGAATGATAACTTGATTTGCATTCAACTTTATTTTGTAGGAACATCTGTTGATAGTATGTGAACTTCTCAAAAGAAAACATGTATGAATTTCATAAATTTAATCGGGAGTCAGGAGGGGAGGTCTACTTCACAATGCCAAGACTGCAGGTTTGTTGTGTTCCATTTTCTACTTGACGACCATTAGCTTTTTGCCTTGCTGGTGTGTAAACTTTGCCCCTTTTTTTTTTTTTTTTTTTTTTGGCAGTCAATTACAATTCAGTGTCTAGAGGCGCTTCAGTTTTTGCATGGCCTTGGCCTGATACATTGTGACTTGAAGCCTGAGAATATACTGGTGAAAAGCTACAATAGGTGTGAGGTAAAAGTCATTGATCTTGGGAGTAGTTGCGTTGAGACAGATCATCTCTGCTCCTATGTTCAGTCTAGATCATATCGTGCTCCTGAGGTTATCTTGAGACTTGCATATGATAAGAAAATAGATACATGGTCACTTGGCTGCATCTTGGCCGAACTTTGTACTGGCAATGTACGTGCTATGCATCCATAAATACTTGTGACTCTGGACATGAGGGCTATACTCTGAGAATATAATATTTAAAAATTATAGCCGCGTGGCTAAACCCTTTGAATATATTCGAATATTGTAAAAGTATAGCCGCACGGTAGTACTCTTAAAATAATGACCTTTCGCATTTCGAGGTTTCACCAATGAATTTTGGCAATATGGGTAACAGTTTGGGGTTTCATTAATGAATTTTTGCATCTCAGGGTTTCACTAATGAATTTTTGCATTTTGGGGTTAAGCAAATAAATTTTCGCTTTTTGGGGGTTTATGAATGAACATTTAGAGTTTATGATTTCACAAATGAATTTTCGGATTTCTTGCCAATGAATTCTCGCAGTTTTGGTTTTCACCATAAAAAATTCATTTTGCAAAACCTCGATTTGCAAAAATTCACTAATGAAACCCCAAAATGTAAAAAATTCATTTACAAAGCCGTAAATACGAAAATTCATTTGTGAAACCAAACGAAAAATTCATTAACATCGAAATGCAAAAATTCATTAACTCTGAAATGCGAAAGTGAATATTAGTAGTTTTTGGTTTTGCTAATGAATTTTCACATTTCAAGGTTTCGTCAATTTTCGCTGTTTGGTTCACAATTTGGACTTTTATGAACTATTTCGGAACAAGGATGAAACCATTACATCTATGAAATCATTTCATTACTTATCGAAAAACAACAAATTGTTTAAGAACAATGGCTCAACTTAAAACTAATTCTTGAAAACTTTCTAGACAACCAAATGGAATGGGGATCCGCAAAGCACCAAAACCCTCGAGCCGCACGCCGCCATACGTTGTAAGTGAAAAAGCCTTTGCTTCTCAAGACTTGGGAAGAAGTTCTTCAGAAGGAACCTCAAGCGTTGCTCCCGCATGATCTTTGTCTGCCTTCACTTCTGCATAAATCAATCAGTGTTTGAATGTAAACAAATCAGTTTGGAAGCTTTCTCATAAAATTCAAAGCTAAATCTAAGTAGCCATATTATTGGAGCTTCATTGAAATTGACACACAAGGTTATCAGATTTCGACATAACAACAATAAAAGCTAACAAGCAAATGGTAAATAAAAAGTATAGGAAAGCAGCCAAAGGAGCAATTTAACAAACACCTTCAAGGCATGACAAGGGCATTCAACGACATACAACAACTACTGGTTAATTCGATATGGGATTCATTCACGAGAGAGATGATTTCATTGGAAATGAAAGTTTACCGTAACCGCCGCGAGAATTGAGCTTAGCCTGGACGATCATTTGGGTGATGAAAAGGGAGGCCTCACGTGCCTCTTCCAGGAGTCTCTGGATCTCTACATCCGACGTCACGTGCCTATTATCTTCGAACTTCTTGCGGACCTCCGCCGCCGACCCCTTTAGCATCGGTGTGTCTCCGGCGAACGACTTCCGAGTCGCTCTTAGCAGCGCCCTGTACGCGTTCAATGCTTCTGCTCTCGCCATCTCAGCCCCCTCTCTCCCCCTTAGTCCTCTCTATCTGCTTCAGGCCTTGTTTTGAAAATTTTAAGCTACTACTAGTACACACCCCCAACAAAACGATGTTGTCTTGTCATCCCACAAGGGCCTCAGTCTTCTTTAGATATGATGCATGGGCTACTTTAGTGAACTTCACACTTTCAGCAACCTCGCTTTATTTTGGGCCAGTCAATAATTGTTAAGCCCGTATATAGGGACGTGGGCTCTATCTATTTTTCTCTAGAGTTGACATTTCTTTTATCTAATCAGAACTCAGAAACACAAAAATAGCAGAAGACATTCATTTCACAATGTACATATTAATGAAAATTTCCAACCAGTTGGCAAATTTGGGAATAACACACTATACTACAATGTACAGTCAAAATCCTTTAAGCATAAATTACATAAAGCAACATCGTGACATGAATCCAAAACCATTCGATGATATATATACCAAGCCCTCTCACTGTCAAAATGGACCTAGGAAGTCACAGAATGTGGTCATGCAGTGATTAGATCATGCATACACGGATTCCATCCAGGGGCCGACATCCTTCTCAATAGAAAGCTGATGCCTAGATGATATAAAGAAGCCTTTTGTATTCTCCAACTGATTCAGTTACCTCAGCGAATCAACCATTCTGCAGTCATGCTTCTTACGCCGACATCTGTGATGAGATTTTTGATCAACGAATGTATTTTCCCCCACAATCTCCATCATGGAATCAGTATCTGGATTAAGAAAAGGACCCATCAGCATATCTCCAGTTGAATCAAACGACTTGGAAAACCAAAATTCAGAATCTCATGAATGCATGTATATAACATAATCAAAAGACGTAAGCAAAGTAGAAGATTCTGTAAATCTCCTAAACTACTTTATGCTATTCTTCTTCTTCTACTGATCCCTTATTCCCTTTTCTCATATCCATAGCGGCACCATTTGCCTATGTTGCCAGGAATAAAATTGATAATTAATAGAGTTGATAA